ATCAGAAGGATCTACACATATTCCAAGCCTAAATTTAGAAATTAATGATTATGCATTATTTTCCAGCATTTCCCCATTCTTTGTCCTGTTTTTTTCCCTACAAAAAACCCCCCAAAAACCTACTGATTACTTGATCTAGTTATCATAAATTGATTTAGATTTCCTGGAATTAAGAGACTTTTAAGTAATAGGATTTCCAGTGATACTAATGAATACAGTTTCAGAAGAACCAGAAGGTTTAAGTAATTAAGAGGAGCTTTCACTTCTGTCTGGAAATTTTACTTCCAGCCAGTGATATGTCAGCAGTGGTAAATGTGCTGGAGAAATTCTACTGAGTTGTTGGCATGACGTGGTGCTCTTTATGAACTTATTTTATTAACTTAGGTTTGTCAATTTAATAAAATAAATACGCATCAACCCACACAATACTTCCCAAGATTCTTGACTGTATTGCTTATATTCCATTTTTATTTGATAAAATTTAGAAAATATTTATTGAGAGCCTGCTATGTCTCAGGCTCTTTTCAGAATCCTTTCCCACAAAAATTATATAAATATTTAAATTTGGTTGGCTCTATATATGTTTAAGCCGGGACACATATGCTTTTGGCATATCAATGCTCAATAAATATTTGCTGAACAGAATGTAAAGTTATTTTTTATATCATGATGACTACACAAAAAGTTTAATGAAAAAACACTATAAATTTAAAAAGCATTCCACTAGCTCAGGTCCTCAAACACTCCTGTCATCTAAACATAAATAATTTGGCTTCAGTAAGCTTCAAAACCCTTATATTATTTTAACAATTACATTTAAAAGTTGCCATATAGAGTACCATAAATTTGTCAGAAAAGTTACTAAGATATATCAAATGTTCATGATTTATGCAGAAATATCACAAAGTAAATGTTGTTGCTGAGTGACATAGATAACACATTGTCCTGTTTTTATATCAAGTACTAAGCATAGTACCTGCGCACAGTAGTTTTTCTTTTTTTCTTAAATAGCTTTATTTAGATAGAATTCACATGACAGAAAATTCACTTTTAAAATTATCAATTCAGTGGTTTTTAGTACAATCAGAGAGCTGTACAACCTTCACCATAATTTAATTTTAAACATTTTTATCACCTCAAAAACAAATCCAGTCCTATGGGTAGTCATTCCCCATTTCTCCTTCTCTCGAGCCTTTGGCAACCACTAGTCTATTTTCTATGTCTATGAATTTGCTTATTTTGAACATTCATATACATGGAATTACACAATATGTGGCCTCTCATGTCTGTTTTTTTTTTTTTTTTCACTTAAAATAACGTTTTAAAGGTCTACCCATGTAGAATGTGTCACTACCTCATTCTTTTTATGGCTGAATAAAATTTCATTATGTAGATATACCACATTAGTTTACTCATGTATCAGTAGAAGGCTAGCTGGTTTGTTTCCACTTTTTGGCTGTTATGAATAATGCTACTATGAATACTGATGTATAAGTTTTTGTGTGGACATATGTTTTAATATCTGTTGGCTATATACCTACCAGTGGCATTGCTGGATCACATAGTAACTCTATGTGCAATCTTTTGAGAAACTGCCAAATTGTTTTCCAAAGTATATGCAGCATTTTAAAATCCCACAGCGTCCAAGCCTTTTAATTTCTCTACATTTTCATCAATACTTACTATATATAGTCTTTTTCATTATAGCCATCCTATGGGGTATGAATCGTATCTCACTGTGGGTTTTGACTTGCATTTCCCTAATGACTAATATCTTTTCATTTGTTTATCGGCTAGTCGTATACCTTCTTTGGAGAACTGCCAATTCAAATTATTTTTCCATTTTATAAATTGAGTTGTTCTTTTTATTGTTTAATTGCAAGAATTTCTTTATTATCTTTATTTCTCTATCATATGTCTGATAAGAGATTTTTAAATATAGTCTCTCTTTGTCTTTTTACATTATGGTGTCATTTGAAGCACAAAGTTTTGTTCTAATGAAGTCCAATTTATCTATTATTTTTTCCTTTTGTCATTTGTGCTTTTGGTGTCACATCTAAGAAATCATTGCCAAATTCATGGGCACTGGGATATCTGCCTCTAATTTCTTCTAAGGATTTGACAGTTTTAGCTCTTACATTGGATCCATTTTGAATTAGTTTTTATATGTGTTGTGAAGTAGGGGTCTACTTTATTCTTTTGTATGCAAATATCTAGTTGCCCCAGCACTATTTGTTAAAAAGACTTTCCTTCCCCCCACTGAATTACCTTGGCACTCTATCAAAGTTAATTGACTATAAACATATAGGTTGATTTCTGGACTCTCTATTCTCTTCCATTGATCTATATGTTTATCTATATCAGTATCACATGATCTTGATGACTGTAGCTTTGGGTAAGTTTTGAAATTGGGAAGTATGAGATCTTCACACTTGTTTTTCGAGATTGTCTTTCATATTAGGTTTATACATAAGTGATTATTTAATGAGTGAATAAATGGATGAATGTTTGCATTTTTAAAAGTATTATTTTGGGGGCTGGAGAGGAGGTTGGAAATTTTAGCATCTTTAAAGGGATGATAACTAAGAGATAGTGGTATTTAGGTATATGTACTTTCAAAAAACATACCAGGATCGGTCCTATTTTATAAAGGTGCCTTAGGTTTCTGCTGCCTGGGCTGTATGACAGAATGTTTCTGAAACCTCTGTAATTGGCACCATGATGGGAACACAGCAGGTACTCAATAACTATTCATAGATTAAATGCCTTGTCCTTTTTGTTTTGCTTTAACCTATTGGTTGTTTTGTTGCTACTTTTTGGTTGATAATTGGTAAATTTCCTGTTTTTCTAGTTTATTCAATAACTCTGCAACTTTGGTTTAGAATCCTATTTTCCTAAACTTCTGCCAATTTTCTGCACACCACCAAAATATGCTGGACAGATGATTTTCCAGACTGGAATCATCAGTAATTCTTTTCAGATGATGTATGAAAGAATTCCAATTTGCCTCTCTCTCACTTTCTCACTCTAATGTCTTTGCTACCACTTGTAAAGCCTTGCCTTCTATTAGACTCCAAGGGCAGAAAACAACTCCCATTTCCAAGGCTGGTACTGCTTTGCATTTCCTGAAATATCATTTCCTCCAGGAAGACTTTCCAGATTGAGATACAGAGTGGACACTGATTCTCATAGTACACAGTCCACCTCTCCTCCACAATCTAAAATGGAAAAAAAAAAAAAAGCTTTAATGTATGTTAAAGTTTTGAATCTTCACATCTTTGTTTATATCTGTCTGTTCCTTATTTGGTACATTAGACCTAGCCTATCCTCTGTGTATGTAATATTAATTTTTTTTCCTGTGTTGATTCCAACCTGTTAAAATGCATTCTTGCTTTAGGTTTTAAATTTTAATAGTTTCCATATCTTTCTCTGGGCTCCTGTTATGCTAGCTCTGCTGGGTACACAAAGGGTACTCAGTAATATATTATGTGAAGATTATTTTATTATTGTCTTTGGAACTCCAGGTAGAGAAGGGCTAAAGGTAGAGTTTGGTGTAAGTGCTTAAGTACAGAGCAATAGAGAGCCTAAAAAGTAGCCATGAAATCTGTAACAATTTCCCTTATCTAGTTACCCAAGAGGGCTACAAGATAGCACTAGGCTAGTCACCAGAGGTTGAAAAGATGCATAGATGAGTGTTTTATTTGTGGGATCATGCTAGTCATACACCCACAGCAAATTAAAAGCCCTAGCTAGGATCAGGAGACTGGGATTTATAACTCTGGCTTCTGTACTACCTTTGGAGAAACCATGGGAAAGGATTTTCCTTTAATTCATTCAGTAAATACTAATTATCTCCAACTATGTGCCCGGGGATGTTAACTATAATAGGGAACAAGACAAGATCCTCATATTCGGGGAATTTACATTCCAGGAGAAGCATGGAGAAAGGTGTATTCCATAACCTACGGCTCTTTCCCTATCTCTAAAACGGTCGGATAGCTTCTAGGTTCAAATTGAACGTTAGGGACTGTCAATTCAGCGTTTGATCACAGCTCAGAATATAGCAAAAGCTGCTCGCTGTTATATAGTTGGTACAGGGTTGATTTATTAATAATAGTCTGGCTTTCCTTTACAAGTAAGGTACAATTAGTACATTGGGTAGAACTGTTTTCAATTTTTTACCCGGCCTTGGAATGCAGCACGATCCCCTGACCCCCTCTACATTTCCAATGACGTGGTTACAGCCACACGTTTTCAAAAGGTCGGAGGTGGCTAGACATTTGGTATTTCTAAATGCTGTTTGAAAGGCTTCCTGTCTCCCAAGTGATGTATTTTCTAGTCAACATGGATTAGGGGTGCAAAAAAGTTTCGGTTTAACAGGGCAGCAAGGTGATGTGGACAATTCATGGTGTCACCCGACCTGAATTAACATTTTGATCCAAGGAACTGAAACAAAGACGACAGCAGCAAATCATACAGGCTTTAAGGCAGCGCTCCATCCTCCACACGGGGGGACGGAAGCTGCCTTCCAAACACAAGCTTTTTAAGGGTTCTAGCTTGCCCTAAGTAGCACCTATCCAGCCACAGTCCCTGGTAACAGCACCAACAAGCGCAGCGCTACCACCTGTGGATGAGGAACAGGAAGTGGCCGCGGGAGTCACGCGGGTCGGAGCCAGGAATTCCTTGACTGCGCAGGCGCTCGAGCCCCCGCAGTCTCTAGCTCGGGCCTCGCCCGCTAGCCCCCGCCTGCGCCAGCCCCACTATCTACGCCCTTAACGTCCACCGACCGGGGCGGGGCCGGGGGCGGGGCGAGCTCGCGCAGTTGAATGGGCGCCCTGACGAGTCGCACATTCCAGCGGACCCACGTGACGCGGCCGCGCCGCCTGAGGTAAACAACCGCGGCCCCGCCTCCCGGCCCCTCCGTGCGCCCTGCAGAGCTCTTCGCTGGCGGGATAGGCTCCAGCGGGGCGGGCGGCTTCCTCCGAGTCTCCAGCGGCGCCGCGGGCCGCAACAGTGGCAGCGGGCGCGGCGCCCGGAGTCTACGGGCCGAGCGTACCGGTAGGGGTCGAGCGCGCGTTCTCTCCCCGCCCCCACGGCGCTCTGTGGCGTAGCAGGAATTTGGCGGGGACCCGGGCGCTATTTGCGGCTCTTTACGCGCGGGCTGCCGGCGGCCCTTGGGTCATTTCTATTCTAGGGGCACTGGGTCATCGCGCTCGACTGGCCCCCTCCCCCGGACCCGGAGGGTGTGTCTCCCTCACCGGGGCTCGCCGCGCCTATAAGGGGCCGAGCGGCGGGTAGGGACATGCAGCTCTACAGCAGCGTCTGCACCCACTACCCAGCTGGGGGACCGGGTCCCACTGCCGCAGCTCCCGCTCCTCCGCCCTCCGCTGCTCCCTTCAAGGTTTCTGTGCAGCCCACAGCACCCGCCAGTGGCGCGCCGGAGCCCGAGACCGGTGAGTGCCAGCCCGCAGCGGCCGCTGAGCCCCGGGAAGCCTCCGCCGCCCCCGCCGCCAAGATGCCCGCCTTCTCCTCCTGCTTCGAGATGGTGTCTGGGGCCGCCGCTCCCCCATCGGCAGCCGCCGCCGGCCCGTCCGGTGGGTCTTGTAAACCGCCGTTGCCGCCCCACTACACGTCCACGGCTCAGATCACCGTGCGGGCCCTGGGCACCGACCGGCTCCTGCTGCACGGGCCCGAGCCCGGCTCCGCGGCTCCTGCTGCCCAGCGCGGCCGCTGCCTCCTGCTGGCCCCCACAACCGGTGCCCCGGTCCCACCGCGGCGGGGCTCCTCGGCCTGGCTCCTGGAGGAGCTGCTGAGGCCCGACTGCCCCGAGCCCGCGGCCCTGGACGCGGCCCGGGAGGGCCCCGACCGAAACTTCCGTCTGAGCGAGCACCGCCAGGCCCTGGCCGCCACCAAGCACCGGGGTCCCGCGCCGCCCCCTGCGAGCCCGGAACCCAGCCCCGGCCCGTGGGGCGAGGAGCACCTGGCGGAGAGGAGCCTCCGGGGCTGGGAGAGGGCCGGCGACCGAAGCGACTCTCCCCTCGCGGACGAGGCTCGGCGGCCTGGCCCGGAGTCTGAGGCACCCGCGGTTCGGAGCAGCGAGGCGGTCCAGAGCGGCGCTGCCGAGGCGGTCGTCTCCAGGTCAGATGCCAGAGACGAGAAACTGGCCCTGTACCTGGCGGAGGTGGAGAGGCAGGATAAGTACCTTCGACAAAGGAATAAGTACCGATTTCACATCATTCCTGACGGCAACTGCCTCTACCGTGCAGTTAGCAAGGCGGTGTACGGGGACCAGAGCCTGCACCAGGAGCTGAGGGAACAGACGGTGCACTACATCGCCGATCATCTCGACCACTTTAACCCCCTGATTGAGGGCGACGTGGGGGAATTTATCATCGCTGCAGCTCAGGATGGGGCATGGGCCGGATACCCGGAGTTGCTTGCCATGGGGCAAATGCTGAATGTGAATATACACTTAACTACTGGAGGGAGGTTGGAGAGCCCCACGGTGTCGACTATGATTCACTACTTGGGCCCAGAGGATTCTCTAAGGCCTAGTATTTGGCTCAGTTGGCTCAGTAATGGACATTATGATGCGGTGTTTGATCACTCCTATCCTAACCCAGAGTATGACAATTGGTGCAAACAGACTCAAGTGCAAAGAAAACGCGATGAAGAACTTGCCAAATCCATGGCCATATCCCTCTCCAAAATGTATATTGAACAAAATGCATGCTCTTGAAGCGTCTGAAAACCTACACCCTGGGAAAAGTGCATACATCATTTGTGTTTAAAGAATTATATGAACTCTATAATCAGGGTAATAGCACTTTTAAACTTTCTAGATTACTGTAGGTGTAATGCCTTAACATTTTTTTTATTTTGAATGTGTTCTCGGAGCTGAAGGTTGCTGGACACCTAAATAATGTTTCATGATAGCCTTGGATGATCCTACTGCAATTTATAATTTGCTGTATAAAGTTAGCACTACTTAATTTGCAAGCTAATTTCTCACAGTGTATATTTGTTCATTACTGTTAATCTATTTTCTATAAAAATGTATTTTTGCACAACATTTACAAAAATTGGTGTAACTTCATCTACGATGTTTTCCATTTTGACAGCTTCCCGGCATAAACCCAGAGAAGTGCTTTATATGAAGCTTATTTTGAACAGAGTTTGTGATTTAGTGGCTATTTTTTGTTGAATTTGAATTTTACAATTCTTAGATATTATTTCAAATGGAGATTGATATATTCATGTTATAAGATGATTGGCCCATTCCATTTTGATGAAACATTTGCTTTAGAAATCATTTTAGAAATGGTCAACCTTTTAAAGAGAAATAATGGAAGGGAAGATTGTGGATTTTTTTCTTTGCCCTTTAAGGGGCAGTGCCAGCTCTTACTTGAATGAAAGTCTGATATTTGCTGATGGCAGAGTGATTTTTCTGTATTCTGATTGATGTTTAGAGTAGATTGGTGCTCTCAATTGTTTTTATTTATATTTGTCATTTTGTTATAAAAGAATTTTAACATGATGTAAAACTTTGTGATGTCTCCTGCTTTATATAGCTTCTTGGATTCAACTGAGATTTGAAAACTAATGAATGCCTTGAACCAACATTTGCAATCATTTTATAGCAGGAGAATATTATCTTAATATTCTGTTCCTTTTAAAGTTTTTAAAAAGGCAAGATAGGATTGTCCTGTGTCATGTACAAACAAAAATGTGTGTAAAATGGCTTGTATGGTTTGCTGGGTCAAACTGTTCCCAACCTAAAATCTTTCTTCCACTTTAACTACTTTGAGTCATATTTATTAAGTAATGAAGTTTGTACATTTTTATTTTGTAACATTTTGTGGGGTTTTTTTGTACAATACTGTATTTGTACAATAGAGCAATTCTCAGTGATGGAGTGAATGAATAAAATGCATAGTTTTACTTGTTTGGCTAAAGTGGTTTTTAAATTACAAAGTGTTATCTGTAGGAGCCTTTCTCATCTACACTTTTTTTTTAACGTGTAAAGGTGCCACAGATATGAGACAGGTTTTCTTAAGTTCTCCCATGAATAGGATAGGGTAATCATTAGTAAGTCCAAAAAATAAGTCAGATAATTTAAAGGTGGAGTAACTCAAGAAATAGTTCTCATTATTTCTAATTATAATTCCTATCTAATATACCTATTGACTAATGAACAGGGAAGTGCAAGTATTGTTAACCAGCACAATGTTTAATTATCATAGTCCAGTCAGCAGAGGTTTTAATGTTTTAAAGAGTAGCTAAAGCAGTGCCCTAATCTTTATTTAGTCTGGCCTTTTGAGACCGTGAGAATTTATGAATTTTAAGATAATCAGATTTAGTTGAGAAGTGCATCTGTATACATAATCCTGGGTATGTTATTGCAGATTGAAAACAGTTTGGAATTTTTGCTTTTCAGTTGTTTAGGTGTCATGGTTATAGACACAATTGAGTAGAGCTTAAGTTCATTGCTTAACCACTGTTTTGGAAGGATGCCATTGATCATCAAGGAAAGATAATTTGTCAGAGGTTTAAATGTTAACTTCATGCATCTCTGGTTTTTTAGGGAAGATAAAACTTCACTGTGTAACTTGGTAAGAAAAATTATTTTAAATGAATCACTTGGCTAATATGGTCTTTTCTGCACATTATTTAGAGCTGCATAAAATTTGGGGATGCTTAAAATATGCACAAAAAACCAATGGACTAATTAGATATGTTTCTAAAGAGTATAAACCCATTAATGTTTTAAACAGGTTCTTTATTTATTTTTTTATTTTAAAGATAGAATCCTAAGTCCTTGATTTAGACTTTCAAAGTGATGGTTTTAAACAAAATTAAATGGGTCTGTAGGTTGTATTACATGGCAGCATATTTTTGTAGTTGTCTTGCCTAAAAGATTTATGTCTTTCCATCCTCTTTGGCTTAGGTTTTTTGTTTTGTTTTTTTAAATCCTTACTTGAGGACATTTGTTCATTAATTTTTTTTTAGAGGCAGGGAGGGAGAGAAGAGGAGGAAGAGAGAGACAGATGCTAGAGAGCGATTAGTTGCCTTCTAAGTGCCTGGACTTGGGATGGGTCTGCAACCCAGGTATGTGCCATGATTGGGGATCAAACTCATCCTTTAGATTACGAAGTGATGCACCAACCAATGGAGCCACGTGGGCCAGGGCCACGGCTTAGTTTTTTGAAGAAGAAACGTAGTATATATTATTTCTCTTTATACTTACCATATTTTGCCATGTATAATGCAAACGCATGTTTTTGCTCAAACTTTAAGGAAAATCTTTTAATAATCCAATTCTTTATATTTGGATACTTGTTTTTTTGTGTTATGAAGGGATTTTAGCATTTATTTTTGGACATACGGTACAAGAAATTTTATGTAACAACAAAACACAATAGATACAAGGTGTTTCATGTGCTTCCATTGTATAATGCACATCCTTATATTTCCCTGCAAAAATTTGGGCAAAAATGTGCACATCGTACATAACAAAATATGGTAACTTAAAAAAAAAATCCTCACCAGAGGACATGTTTATTGAATTTTAGGGAGGGAGGAAGAGAGAAACATTGATTGGTTGCCTCCCAGAGACTCACCTATTGGGGACTGAATGTGCAACATAGATGCCCTGACTGGGATGGACTCTGCAATCTTTGGTGTACGGCATGACGCTCTAACAAACTTACCCACCTGGTCAGGGTCCTTTATACTTAATATTTATTCTCTAGTTGCTATACCAGTTTGATATGTTTGCAGTAGCAGTCTTGGGTCACTGAAGACTTGAGCAGTCAAAGGTGGAAATGTGGTTAATTCTTACTTTTAGCAAACCTTTATTAACAGTTCATTCCTTTATTCTTATGTAGAGCAACCAAGAGGATCAAAACTGAAGGAAACAGTTGATGCTGTGAGCTAGTTTCTTTAGAGTTTACTTCCCTATAAGTACCAAGGAGGATAAAATCTATAAACCCAACTGTTGTATTTTCAGATAAATTAATATGAAAATCATTATTGAGAAAGTTTTATTAAAGTGGTACATAGATTAAAAACTATGATACAAATAACTATTAGGGTGATTTTGTTTTACTGTTCACTTAAAAACTAAAATGGCATAGTACTTGGAACATTTTGGCAAAAACCTAATTTTTTGAACCGTTTCATTTTCTGAAATTTTTCTCTAACAAAATATAGTCATTTTAGTATATTGGACTGATTAACAAACCACTAATAAGTGGATATATACATGTGATGCTTTACATTTTTGTGTACTTGGGGTTCATATGCTCAGTATGGCGAAATTTTCATTAGGCACAAAGCATTTTATTAGAAGCCACACTTTATAGAGGAGAGGAAATGCCTTAAAATCTCTTGAACATCAGAATTAGCCTCAGTTTGGGTAAATATTTCTGTTGCAATGTTTTCTTCATAATTTTTGTACTAAAAAGAAAAGGATCTTGAGATAATACCACTACTTTGTATGTTTTTCCTCTTTTTCTAAAAGATGAGAAAAGTAAAACCTAAAATTTTACCGTGGTGCTCATATGTAGGAAAAACTAAACTAGAGAAGAAAAATAGACTTTAAATCTTTGCACATACGATAATTTAATAGGTAGGTTAATGTACTGAATAAAGAGTATACCTACATCAAATGTGTAACATGTTTGCATTTAATGCACAGTTACTTGTCCCATGAAATAAGTCCAGACTTTTTTTTGGACATCCCCAGCGTGTCTAGCTATCTCAAAGAGACTTAATTAATTGGTTAGTTGATGGAAACAGTATACTTGGGAACATAACAATTACGATGCCAACAGGTAATCCTATTAGAGAAACTAGATGGTATTTAATTATTTCCCTCCCCGAATAAGCAGCTCAGTTAGGCATAGGCTATATTGTATTCCCTGCTGACTCCCTGGGTTCCAACTGGTACCTAGCAGAGAGATGTGCAGTAAATATTTGTTCAATGAAGGAATGAATTGAAGGAAAATACGAGCTTTGGAAAATATTTAGTTGGTGAATGTGAAATTAAAATAATCTGACTATAAAATTACTGGGCATTATAACTGACAGAAATTTGGAGCATTTTAAACTGAAATAGTGTTATATAAAAAGACATTAAAGTATTCTATGATAGAAAACTAAGTTTTGAAACTAAAAATTAGAATTTATTAATTTTATCTTTGTGTTATTTTCCAAACATCTTGACTGAATCAAGAAAAGTTATTTTAAAATAGTACTTCCATTAATCTGAAGTGATTTTGAAGGTGTTGCCTTGTACACAGGGACTTGCTCTGACTTGTTCTAGGTGTTACACCCATCCCAAGTACATTTTGCTAGTTTTGCTATGTTATCTTTCTAAAACCTGGGAAGAAAGTGTTGGGTAGATAGATTTTAAGCCTGTTTTAAGACTGTTGTGTTAGTTCTGGCTCCGTGTTTACACAGTTGATCAATGGCCTTGGGCAAGTAGCATGAATCAGATTAGAACATACCTGTTGGGAAAAAAATTGGTATATTTCCTCTTACTGTAAATTAGGTCAGTGACAATAATTCTATGAGTAAAGGTCAGAGATATTGTTCACTATGATCAGATTACTTGTAGTAAAATCTTATCTAGCCTGGTTTCTCACAAATGAATTTCTAAATAAGCAAACAGTCCATAAACAAAACAAAATAATTGCTTTTGATAAAACTATTTAAGAAGCAGTCTATGGTGCACACTTACTTGTTTTTGTAAAATAACTGAATATGTTTGAATCTTCCCTTAATGACGTAGGGCTCTCCATATGACATTGTTACAGGTCCTTGAAGCCTTACCAGATTGCTGTGGTGTGACAGTCCCTTTGTACTTTAGAGTATCTCAGAGTGCTAGGACTTTTATCTGTGTGTTTTATTCCCTCCCTCACTCCCTTCCTTCCTCCTCTATGTTTGTTAAAACCAGGGACAGGAGAGAGCCTAGGTTGTCCTCTGCTTTGGCTCCCTAGAAATACTACAGGGAAGAAGCTTGTTAGCAGCTTGTTAGCTCACTGAAAAGTCAGAGAAAAGAGGGGCCCTGGAGAAAGGATCAAGGGGTAAGCCCAGGACAAGCTGCTGCTGCTGGTTGCTCTCCTGGATACAAGTCTCATGCTGTTCCTTAGAACTTAGGAGAGAAAGTAAAGGGGAAGGCCTGAGTGGAAAGAAAGGTTTGGGCGTGCTCCAGGGAGAGCCTGCCAGTGTTTTAAGCTTTCCTGTCTCCCTCACTTTCTGATTTCCTTCTCATCATTGTCACTTTCCAGTCCTAATTTACATTATGAATTCCTATGATGAATTAGAGATACCAACAAACATGCTTCTCAGAATTTATTTTTAGATAATAGGAAATGGGTTTCTAGGATGCTCTGCTATGAGTAATGTGCTTCAGCTTTAGTTTTTGGTCACCTGAGAAGTTTTGTGCCTTCATCTTTGCCTTTTTTTTTCTTTTGCACCCTGGAAATGCTGAATTTTATCTGAATAAGGGAGCTCTGAATGTGTGCATTGGCATATTAAAATAAAACAATGTCAAAATTGAAGTTGATTTGTCATTGTCTGGTTAATGTTTTGTTTTCTCTCTGCCATATGTAATTTTTTTTAAATTTTATTTTAATTTTTTCAAATACATTTGTCTCTGCCTACCCCCCACCACTTTCCCTTGCCCCCTCCCACCTTCCCTCCCTCAGCTCTTCCCCTTTGGTTTTGTCCATGAGTCCTTGCTATATGTTCCTTGACTTTCCCCTTCCCTTCCTTTTCCCGCCCCCACTCCCTGCTTCCCTCTTGTCTCTGTTGATTTCTTTTCCTTTCAGTGTTGCTGGTCTTATTTTCCTTGCATCTTTGTATTGTTGGTTAGGTTCCACTTATAGGTGAGATCATATGGTATTTGTCTTTCGCCCCCTGGCTTATTTCGCTTAGCATAATGCTCTCGAGTTCCATCCATGCTGTAGCAAAGTTTAGTAGTTCTTTTTTTCTTTCTGCTGCGTAGTATTCCATTGTGTATATGTACCATCACTTTTTGATCCAATCATCTACTGATGGGCATTTAGGTTGCTTCCAACACTTGGCTATTGTCAATTGTGCTGCGATGAACATTGGGGTGCATAGGTTCTTTTGTATTGGCGTTTTGGTGTTCTTAAGGTATAGTCCCAGCAGGGGAATCACTGGATCAAAAGGCAGTTCCATTTTCAGCTTTCTGAGGATATTCCACACTGCTTTCCACAGTGGTTGCACCAGTCTGCATTCCCACCAATAGTGTACTAGGGTTCCCTTTTCTCCACAGCCTCACCAGCACCTGTTGTTTGTGGATCTGTTTATGATGGCCATTCTGACCGGTGTGAGGTGGTACCTCATGGTGGTTTTGATCTGCATTTCTCTGATGGCTAGTGATGCTGGGCATCCTTTCAAATGCCTCTGGGTCCTCTGTATCTCCTCCTTGGAAAAGTGTCTGCCCAGGTCCTTTGCCCATTTTTTGATTGGATCGTTTGTCTTGTTGGAGTGGAGTCGAGTGAGTTCTTTATATATCTTGGAGATCAAACCTCTATCTGCTGTATCATTAGCGAATATATTTCAAAGAATTATGTAATTCTTTATAGTGTGTATGTGCCTGCCATTGTCTTCTTTTTGCTTAACCTTTTTTGTATTTAATTTTCTGGTCCACAAAGATATGCTAGTTAGGAGGTAACTCAAATATTGGGTTTTCATTGAAAATTCCAAATTTCAGTACATATACATAGGTCCCCTACAAATACAACTGGTCTTTTGAATTTCTTCTCCCTACTACTTCTTTAATGAATGTGTATTGTGTCTACATTGGGTAAATAAGTTAGTCTTCCTCATCCTGGCCTTTTCATAAAAATAAAGTATTTTCCTCTCATATTGATTAGGATGGTTGAATAGAGTCAGTAGACAGCCTGAATTAATATGCTATTAAATAGACAATTTGAAAAACTACAATGGTTATATGCATTTTATATTTTAAAGCAGTTAAAATAGAACTTCCCTCTTCCAGCATTTTATACTTTGAACTGGAATGATTTTAGTAAGTGTTGAGGCCAAGTAGATTGGAATATATAGAGAAGTAGCCTCAGTGATGTATGCATAAAATGATAATTATATCTAACAAATGTCCCTCTTAGAAGATCTCTGAATAATTTTAGGACTGAACAATATAGTATTTCTTAGCTTATCAAGGTACAAAATGGTGGTGTACAAGATAGGTAACTGTGAAGGGAATTTATACTAATGTGTCATGAACTATGCAGCCAATTTGTAAAATAAACTCAAATAAGGTTTCAGTTCTAATGGCAAACAGGAAACACACTTTGTTTCTTACAGTGAAGTATGACCTATACTGGTGATGTAATTGGAATGAAAGAAGTGAAAGAATTTGGTTAGGAAATTCTTGGTTGTCACTTCACTGCCTTAGCCATCTTTCTGGGAAGTGCCAGACGTAAGGAGAGTAAACAATTACATGTTTTTACTTTAAATCTAAATAATGCCCATGTCTCAAACAGGAGATGCCTGAAACAGAAACCTTAGTAATTGCTTACACAGAATTTTAGGACAAAGAAAGATTTCATATGTATGTTGAACTTTTCAATATAAAGTAGTTCCTGAATAGATTTTTCATTACCTTTTTATTTTATTGTTAGTGGCTGTTGGCAGGGCATCTTTCCCCATAAATGAAAATAGGGACACATTGAAAATAGGGACACTTAAGAATTGTGGCAATTTGCAAAGAGATAGCTATACTGATTTAGAAGGCGATTTGACCCTACAAGAATGGACAGTACCATTTTAATAGTTAAATTGTTGTGATTAAAGGAAGTT